AAAGACCATAAACTATACTTACTGTAGTAAAACCTATGTTAAATTTGTAGTATTCACTACAAATACCACAAAATTATATATGGTTGTAGTACACCATGGCTTAATGTTGACAATATAATTTGCTATATAAATGATATGATATGCCACGGTTAAATTGTGGTAACTGACAAAACAAAACAACAACTACAACCAACAAGGCAACAAGGTTGCACACACACACACACACACACACACACACACACACACACACACACACACACACATATATATATATATATATATATATATATATACCTATATAGGTGTTACTATGGTTGTTCTGAAAATATTACAGACAGATAGTATTTGGTCACTTTCTGGTTGTCAAACGTTAACCTGTGTGAACTTGATGGGAAATTGCTTCATTTTGACTAAAAATGAGCTTGAGACCTTTCGATTAAAAGTAATTGCAGAAATAGCTCAGTAAAGTGGTTATCTCTGACCTCTGAAATTACTGCAGGAAATATCACAGACAGTTGAAGCTGTAGTCTGTCATTAGCAGAGTTGACCTGAGATCAGTTCAGATTTGATTCTCTGGATTCGCTGTTTATAGTCGAAATGTAAAAAAAATTAAAAATAAAATACTGGAGAGAAAATACAGGCGAATGCAGAAAACACTTCAAATTGCATTGTTCATATTGCACATTAACATAATTACAATAGCGATAACAGTGTGTAATTATAGACTGTTCCATTACATAATTACATACCAAGTGCGTGCTATTCATTAGTGCGCAGTGCTTTTGTAACTACACTGGATACTTGGATACTGTAGTGTAAAGCCTGACCTAGTTGGAGACCCGAAATGAGGAGGCATGAAAAGAAATTGAAAATCAACTTGTGTTCAACTGTGGTCACAGAAAGTTTAATCTGGGCTTGGCCAAAACCTGAGAATGAATCAGATGACGCGTGACGGGCTTTCAACGGAGTTGAGAACTTAAACTGTGGACCCCACACGTGATGATTCAAACAAGTCACGGCGAGCTAAAAGCTGAAGAGTCGAGATCCTTCTGGAGACTTTGAAGTTGAGTACGCTGTTATTTTCTACACAAGTATGCATAACAGCAACATTGCTAGTGTAATGCAGCGTTTACACAACAGTTTAATAAACAAGAAATGTTCATGTTGAAAAAATATAGCCTAGCTTTTGTCTACTTTCAAACGATGCCACAGGAGATGTAACCTTCCGATTCAATAATTCACATACTCATTCATGAAGAAAGTGGCTGATTGACCTGGCCACCAGCAAAAAGTGTTCCATATTTTAATTTAAATTTGTATTATTTTTTAAATTATAATATTATGTAATGTTTTGGATAGGCCTATCTTTGCCTGCAGTGCGGAGTCGTTCATGCTGCCCACGGAAAAGAGATTCATGGTTGATAAACTTTGAATTATAGAAGACACTTGCAAGATTTGTTTTCTACAGTGGATTGTAGGTAAATATCCACTTCGTCCAGCGCTTTTTTTGTTTTCCGTCTTATAAAATATCCCGTATTTCGGTGTGAGAAACCGCTCAAACGATCCAGTGGGTGAGTGAACGGTCCTAATATTTCAGACCTTTTTGCAAATCCGTTTGACCGTGAAGAGGGATTCATTCGCGAATCTGGCATCACTGTTGTGATTCTAAAAGGCTGATAAAAAAAAACAACAACAACATGAAACATGTTATTAAACCTAAGGATTTATCAAGAATATTTTACTGGGGATCATGCACCAGTAAAAAGGGTCTAGCGATACCCCTGAGGAGCATATTTACTATTTTTGACACAAGTGGAAATAGTAATGGGGTTTTCTATAGGCTAACTCAGAAATGCTGTTATTGAATCAGTGTTTTGAAAAATTTTGTTAATGATCAAATCGATTTGATTACAACTTAAGACAGTAACTTACACCAATACTGGCGTATCAATGTAACATTGAAAAAGCCACTTTTATATACACACACACATATCTCTCTCTCTCTCTATATATATATAGTAGGCCTATATATAATTTGTTATGTGTATAGGCTACATAAATACACACAAGAACATGTCTATTTCCTTCAAGCATGTCAATCAAAAATTAATGCATAATAATGATTGGTTTTTAGCGTTTTAGCCTCCTAGAGCATTTAATCACGGTTCACTTTAAAGCCACTAAAAGCCCAGCAGGAAATCCAGAACACACTGTTCATCTGCTCCTTTCATGTGGCCCTCCTCAGAACAGAACTCACTGTTTGTCACTTAAATACACTCACACAGCTTTGACGTCTCTATCCTCAGTGAATGAACTGAACTCAGTTTATAGAGTGGTGTTTGGACCTCAAGAGGTGAAATACTCCCGGAGAGAGGCTAGATCAAGCCCCACTCCACTTTGTTTGTTCACACTTGCTCCCGATCCGGATTAATTTCCCAAATCCGATTTGAGGCCTGGCACTCTAACTGCTTGGATCAAACTTTTGTATTTGAAAACTTTCCCCTTCACACCCGCTTAGAGGTGGACCCTTCTTGCTTCTTACTGAAGAGTCTTTTAATCTGAACACAAAAACATGTAAACACTCCCCTACACACACACTTGTGCCTTGCTTTCCCACTGTTGGGAGCTGAAGTATTAGCTGGTGTATTTTCTTCCACACAATGCATTTCTTCCTCTTCACACTTTCAGTTCTCCCCCATTATTATCTTCAAGGGATTTTTTTAGTACTAAGATACGTGAAAGGGAAACCCTTCGAATTATTACTGATATAAATGAGCACTTGGATCCACTAAAGCTCATAGACATCTTTAAATCTCTTGGAATGAATGACAACTTAATATCTAACAAAAGAATCAGGATTAGATACTGTACATAAAACAGTGGGAAAGACATAACAACATGAAATGTTAAATATTCTGGTGTAATTTCATCCTGTCACTCATATAAAAATTATCTAGCTGGAAAGAAAATCATTTATTAAAAAGAAACCTTTAGATAAAAATACAGGACAAAGAACACCTTTTTGCTTCCCGCTGTTTTTCCGGGGGTTGAAAGCTGACGGGAAATGCTTGATTGCCATGCCTCGACATTGATTACACATGATTAAAATAGACTCCGTGTGTATGAATTCAGGCAGGTATGCTGGAAGCCAGGACACCACGAGCAAACACAATAAAGTCTAAGGTACCTGTATTGTATTTTTTTTAATAACATGTTTCAATATTGCTACAGCCATCTGTTCTTCTAACAGGTAAAAATCATGAAAAATTCCAACCGAAAAGAGAAAAATAAAACAAAAAAGGACTTGATTTCAAACAACTTTTCTTCGCCTAATTCAAACAATAAGTCATTTCAACACAGTGAGAGGATCTCATTCAACACATTATTATTCAAACAAATTATAAAAATAGATTGCATTTTCAAATACATATTTACAGTATCAAACAGAGATCAGAATGATACACTTAATGCAAAGGGAGAATTAAGTATTTTTCAGTAAAGGGCTGTTAAACATTACAGTACAGCATGTCTTTGTCCTTTAGATTTTGAAGTGATTTTTAATTCGGGTTATGCCACGTTCAGATATGATATGGCTGCAATAATAACGAATGCGCATCTCTGTATGCGTGTAATCGTAAAACAGAGAGAGTGAAAATGATGCTCTTATCGTTAAATTCCAAAAAGCTTTAATTGTTTATATCCTAAAAATCAATAGCAACCTAATATGAGGAAGAAAAAAATCCAGACATTTGTTTTGTACTAAATGTATTTGTGGCAAAATCTAGATCCAAGCTGTTTGTTACAGCCTTTGTTAATGAGATTTGCACCAACCTGTTTCTATGATCAAACTGTAAATTAAGATTTTACTCAATACTGCTTAAACACATCCAAGCCCAACCAAGTCTTGTTCACACGCTCACATCACACAGGAGTCTAAATTCAATAACACTAGAACATTCAGAACATTCTCATTTAAGAACAACCACTTCCGTTGTACAAAACGCCAACATCAAGTACTAAACATGTCCAAGAGTATCAGACACCTGCTGTTGTGGAGTGTAATGAAATCTGTAAGTATGTGAATGTATATGTGTGTATACATCCCTGTTACATCCACTCACTCACTCACTTTCAAAGTGCAGGAAAAAATGAAATTACACAAACAAAATCGAAGAGCATTTTGATGAAATGATAGCTGAACGTCCATATTCAGTGCTATGTTTTCCATTTTCAAGCAATATTCCTGCATTCAAACTCCAGTAAGCATCTGCAAACGGATAAATAAAGCATCTAATAAATATGGTACAAGTTTCTGTTAGTCATGGACACTGCAGTGCAAACATTGTCCCTATAGTAGACAGAACAAGAAAAACATTATGAGTACAGATGTCCGACAATACTAATTTAAACTCGGAAATTCAGAAATGAGTTTAAAGTGTGGAGGAAAGAAAGCAAAAAGCAAAAAGTAGACAGTAACCAAACACACAGAGAAAGGGATTTACATATTATTTAAGATTCCTTACATCAGTACTCAACTTATGTGCTGAAGATACGGCAAAATGCTCTCCTAGTCTGAGGAGCAAATGGATGACATGCTCTCGGCTTAGTCCACTTTATAGGAGGATCAGTGGCTACAAAGCATGAGATCTTTTGCTTGGGAAAAGAAAATACATGTCACCCTTTTGATTGCTCTGAGATCGGTCAGAGTCAAACTGCCCTTCTCCGGGCACAGTGACGGAGGGCATCGACCACCTTAAAGTCCTACTAAAAGGGACAGAGCTCATGTCATTGATGAACAGCGGAAGAAAAGCAGGTCAAACTCAGCACGCAGGTTATTCTAGAGGAATCCTCTTGCTTGTGATATTGTCCCCCTCAGAAAACAAGAACTTGTTTGTGGAAGAAAAGAACCAGTGTTCACCCAAAGAGAAGATAAAGGAATGAAAAAGGGAAGATTAGGAAGAAAACCGCCATTTGCAGTGTCTTGGTTATCACCTCCTGACCGTTGAATGGCCTGCTGGGTAATTATGAGAACAGACATCCATATGTCTTTCCTCGGTAAGCCAGCGCACTGCTGTGGGTCTGTCAGACTTGCACTCCGCGGCCGTGCATCTGGATAACCTGCGCTCTGAGAGTCTGGATGGCGGACAGGATCTGTTTCTGGTGCTCCAGGGAGGTGATGCCGAGACTCAGCACATCCCTGCAAAAACAACGGAGCAAGTTACACACAAACTGAATAAGAGAAAAGCGTTATTTAGGACTTCAATTCAATGTCACTCACTGAACGGTCATGCGAGCCACTGACTCCAGGTAACAGTATCCAGCAGCAGTGAAGTTGTCTTTGTAGCGGCCCATGTCTACAGCTTCTAACCACTCTCCAACTGAACTAAATGAAGGGAAGGAGGGAAGCGTTCGTTCTGCTAGTGATACAGATGAGCCCAGGGTCCTGGACAAACACAGAAAGAGATTTCCGTCTTTAGAGTGAAAAACATAAACACTTACTGGGAAAGTGGAAACGGGATGATTTGCAAGGAGATGGGAACCATGAGAAGCTTTCCAGTACCTGCGTCCCAGGGTGGAGGACCCGATGTTGTCCGGGCTCCTCATGGTCTTGCTTAGAGCGCTGTGGATCAGGGTGAAGGTGGGTCTCTCTGTCCTCTCCTTCTGCCAGCAATCCAGCATGAGCTGGTGCAGAGATGCCGGGCAGTTCACGGGAGCAGGTAACCGGAACCCATCCTCTATAGCTTTTATTACCTGTAATAACACAAAAACATAATTATTGAATATTGACTATTTGGAGTAATGGAATATATTGATTACTGACCCATAAATAATGCCGAATCTTACATTGTAACATTTATTTATTTCAAAATTCTGTTTATTTCCAGTTTGTGACCCCATTGTATACACATCTCACTGATTTTTCCAGGAAGTGTTCTGTGTGATCTCAAAGCAATCAACACTAATAATGACATTTCGGAGACAAATTAGCAAATTAAATTATTTCATTTCAGTAGGTATTTCAAAATGTGTCCTTGACTGGCATTCCTCTATGATCTCCTCTTTTTATTAGATAATCCTAAATACCACTGAATTTAATAAAAGTACTACTTAAAAGTCACTTATGACAACACAAACAATATTTAAACCAAATAAATAACATGAAAGATGCATTAATGCCATTCCCCAGCAATCATTAATTTAGCCATAAACATGAAAATGTTTAGCATTTCACTATTTGTAGTGAAAGATGGCCTTGTTTGCTGAAAAGCTTTACACGATGAAGTTCTTTAATACATAATGACTTAATAGTGTGTTTTCTCTCATATACATAGAAGAAAACAGATTTGGCCTTACAGTCATATCTTATCACATAAAAACATTATCAAAACAAAATAAAATAAGGACTATGCATGGACCAATACAAAATTTGTGTCAATACTAATATCCTTTTCATTCCAGTGTGTATTTTAAAATGCGTCTTTGGAATTCCATTCTATTTCTAAAGTCTTGCTACAGATTAAAAGAAATTAAAAACAAAAACAAAATGATGTAGTTTCTTTGACTAAATTACTACTGGGGTCCAAAAAGTGTGATGTCCTTCAGCCGGCGTTTATTTCAGAGTTTTTTATTTCAGATCTTTGCTGCAGGCGTGAAAAGGAGGCCACACGCCGCGTGACTTCTGAGTCTGATTGGTCACGGAGCTGAAGTGGACTTGGAAGTCAAAGTGCACACACACATATACACACACATTTTATCTGGGGTCTTTAAAGGCCCCTCGCTTTAGCTACTTTAAAATTTTTATACAAATGCATAACTCCTCACTTCACACAGGAAAATCCCATCCTACCAACAGAGAGAGGCAGGAAAGAGAGAGAGAGAGAGGGAGGGAGAAAAATAATTAAAATCACAAACAAACGTAAAAGGATTTTTAGGGAGATCTAAAGGAGGAGGAAAAGCAGCCTCCCAAAAGAGAGAGCAAGAGATACAGAGAGGAAAGGTCTGAGAAAGAAACACCAGAAGAAAAGCAATGCAGAACTGCACAGGTGGTGATACATTAGAAGAAATATAAAGGGACAGACGTACGTCTTGGTTGCCCATGTCCCAATATGGTCTCTCCCCGAAGGACATGACTTCCCACATGACGATACCGAAGCTCCACACATCAGAAGCTGAGCTGTAACGATGGTACTGAATGGCTTCTGGGGCTGTCCACAACACCAAACTCTTCCCTCCGTGCTGAAAGAAAGACAGACCCTGTTATGTCTAACAAATTGACACAATTGTGCTCAGTCTTTACGGTTACTACTACTAATTAGTAAGTGGTCATTGAGAAGAAGGTTTTATCTGATTTACAGTACACTAACTACAGAGACAATCTCCACTGAAGCAACCTGAGGTTAAGTGACTTGCTCAAGGCTTCATGAATTGCTCTTTGCAGAGTTTGAACCTACAACCTTTCAATTACCAGCCCAGAGAAACGAGCTACAACAGTGATTGTGATTTTGCTAATAGGACTTGTTCCTTTTTGTTGAAACAAACATACTAAAGGCGCAGAAATGGGATCTAAAGGAGGAGGAAAAGCAGCCTCCCAAAAGAGAGAGCAAGAGATACAGAGAGGAAAGGTCTGAGAAAGAAACACCAGAAGAAAAGCAATGCAGAACTGCACAGGTGGTGATACATTAGAAGAAATATAAAGGGACAGACGTACGTCTTGGTTGCCCATGTCCCAATATGGTCTCTCCCCGAAGGACATGACTTCCCACATGACGATACCGAAGCTCCACACATCAGAAGCTGAGCTGTAACGATGGTACTGAATGGCTTCTGGGGCTGTCCACAACACCAAACTCTTCCCTCCGTGCTGAAAGAAAGACAGACCCTGTTATGTCTAACAAATTGACACAATTGTGCTCAGTCTTTACGGTTACTACTACTAATTAGTAAGTGGTCATTGAGAAGAAGGTTTTATCTGATTTACAGTACACTCACTACAGAGACAATCTCCACTGAAGCAACCTGAGGTTAAGTGACTTGCTCAAGGCTTCATGAATTGCTCTTTGCAGAGTTTGAACCTACAACCTTTCAATTACCAGCCCAGAGAAACGAGCTACAACAGTGATTGTGATTTTGCTAATAGGACTTGTTCCTTTTTGTTGAAACAAACATACTAAAGGCGCAGAAATGGCACAAATCAGTTTGACAGATTTCTAGCGCAACAATGTAAAAATAAAGAAAAGGAAAAGAAAGGAAAATTGTAAAGGAAAGGACATTGCATAGGAAAGGATGACATAAGAGAGGAAAACAAACAAAAAAAGGAAAAGGACAGGAAAGGAAAAAAAAAAAAAAGTTGATTAAATGTTGATTTAGGAACACATCCTCGGCAAACACAAAAAAGTGGTATCACGGTGTGAGTGTATTGTGTTGGTGAAAGACAGGTGTATTGTGCCGTACTGTATCCTGACTTCCGTGTTCATCTTATCATAACAGAAGAATGGAGTACTGAGGCGTTCTTAAAATATGCCACACATTCAGCTGAGTACTTGCAAGAAAAAAAAAATCGCATGAAAGTTTGATAAACTAGATAAGAGCTGTGCTTTGACTTTTAGAGAAATGCTGACAACCATTGGCTCTTCGAACTCATTCAGAAGTGTTTGAGAGTGCTGTGTTGCATTATGGTAAAATACTCACTAGTGTGCTGTAGACTGCCTCTATCTTGTCGTCCTGAAGAGGTCTGAAGCCTGACACTTTGCAGACCAGGCTGCTGTTCACCAGGACTTTATGAGCGGCCAGTCGGCGATGGATAAAACCCATCTCTGTCAGATACTTCATCCCTGACGCCACTCCGCTCAGCAAATCCACCAGCTGAAGAACAGTCAACTGACCTTCGTGTTTCTGTGCAGAAAAAAGAGGGAGAAAAAGAGAGAATGAAAGGAAGGAATGGCAAAAAGGTGGACAAGAGCAAAAGAAAGGACATTGAAGTAGACAGAAAGGGGAAAAAGGAAAGATAAAGAAAGAAAAAGGCATTGCAGAGGAAAAGAAAAGCGTACAGGAAAAGGAACATACAATGGAGAGGGGAAAAGGGAAAATCAAAAATTGAAAAAGGAAAAAATGTAATAGAAAAATAAAGAAGGAAAAAGGAAAGAAAAATGGAAAATGTAAAGTAAGGAAAGGAACATAATGGAGAAGGAAGAAAAAGGAAAAGATAAGGAACAAGGAAAAGAAGGTGGGGTAAGGAAAGAAAAAAGGTAAAGGGAATTGGAATTGGAAATGGAAAGGAAAAAGGGAGGAAAACAACAGTTTACAATATAAACACTAAAATACTTATGAAAACTTGGAACAAATCATATCACTTCCTTTCAAGAATTTTACTTCATCTGACTCTGAGACAAGATAAAACGCCTCGCTTGGCTTTTTCCTCTCATTTTCTCTTTTTATCAACCAATCACATCTGCAGGTTTTGTAATGCAACTTAAAATATTTCATATATACCATTTACTGCACTATCTCAGCATTTTACATCTGATGACTCAGCAGAACAAACAGACACAAAAAATACATTCTCTTACCCGCAGGAAAGAGTCCAGGGCTCCGTTGGCCATGCTCTCCACCACGATCATCATAGTGTTGCCTGCAGCAAAAAAAAACACATATGAAGAAAAAATTGGATCATGTGTTTGTTTAATGCTTCAGCGGGGAAAGAAGACATGGTGGGGTTGTCCAAGGGGCACAAACAACTACGTTTTCATAAAAGTGTGAGTGTTATGTAAGAGATTACATGCTATCAGCAAGTCACTGTAGATAGATAGAACAGTGGAATGAGAGAAAATATGATAGATAGTTTTAGATAAGAAACTGCAACAGACCAATCAGAATAAAGTATTCAACAGCACTGTGTAATAATATATGTCGTGTCTGTATTTCCAGTAAGCATTAGACAGTGAGTGATAGAATGCGGCCCAAAGAAAGATGAGGGAAGTACGCTCCATTAGGGAGGAGGGTAGCGGTAAATCCCCAGGTGTAAGAGCAAAAGAGAGCAAGGAAGAGAGGCTGGAAGTGAGAGAGGCAGATCCCTCAATCACGTACACCGACACCAACAATCTGCAGAATTCAATGACCAGCCCAATGAACAGGAGGCTGCGCTATCAGTCTGGTCAATCTACCGTCCCCAGCTCCATCACACCTCCTGTGGGGAGGAGCAGACATGCCTGACCAACCCCAATCAGAAGACCTCCTACTGGGCTCTCAGCTCTGGGTCCTTCCCACCTGAGGTGTGGAGGTCTGACAGGTGGGTGAAGAGGAGGGTGTGTAGCTTTCAGGAGGAAAACTGAGATTTACAGGTGGAGGAGGAGAAGTCAAGGAGAAAGTTTAGAGTCATTAAGGGGGCTTGCTGTGATTTGGCCACCAATTATTCCAACGTGAACATCTGCTGTTGCGCTCACTGCACACACACACTTAGGCTAATTCAATCCCAAAATCCCAATACATTCTTCTCCCCAAAATACCACTGAATAAATGGTCTCTTACTCTTCATTTAAAACAACAATTAAAACCAGAACCAATTATGCTTTGTTAACGAATCACAATATAAATTTAAATAGCTGAACATTTAAATGGAGATTTATTCAAATAAGAGAGTTTTATGTACTATATAGACATACACTACCTTTCATAATTCAAAGCTCACCAGACCACCCAGAGTCAGATCATTTATGAACACCTAAGTGGCAAAAATGGGTGAATTACTACGCAGTACACTACCGTTCAAAAGTTTGGGGGCAAAAAGTAACAGTAAAGACATTTATATTGTTACAAAAGATTTACATTTTAAATAAAGACTGTTTGTGATGAGAGGGGCGGGGCCGAGAGCCGTGGGAACGGAGCGAGGCTGGTGGAGTAAATGCTAAATTCGCGAATTGATGAAAATTTCTATTCATCAAAGAATCGCAAATCAGCATATTAGAATGATTCCTAAAGGTTCATGTGACACTGGAGACTGGAGTAATGGCTGCTAAAAATTCAGATTTGCCAGCACAGCAATGAATTACATTTTAAAATATATTCAAATAAAAAGCAGTTATTTTAAGTTGTAATAATATTTCACAATATTATTGTTATCCAGTATTTTTGAACAAAAAAATGCAGTCTTGGTGAGCAAAAATCTTACTCACCTAAGTGGCAAAAATGGGTGAATTACTACGCAGTACACTACCGTTCAAAAGTTTGGGGGCAAAAAGTAACAGTAAAGACATTTATATTGTTACAAAAGATTTACATTTTAAATAAAGACTGTTTGTGATGAGAGGGGCGGGGCCGAGAGCCGTGGGAACGGAGCGAGGCTGGTGGAGTAAATGCTAAATTCGCGACACCTGCGCCACTCACTGGTCTCGAGTCCCACGGAGGAGCTTCGGAAGGATAAAAGGAGGAGTGACGACAGTGTGGGGGAGAGAGGACCAGGCCTGAACTAGCACATTAGCATTTACTCCACCGGCCTCGCTCCGTTCCCATGGCTCTCGGCCCCGCCCCTCTCATCACACTGTTCTTTTAAAATTTCTATTCATCAAAGAATCGCAAATCAGCATATTAGAATGATTCCTAAAGGTTCATGTGACACTGGAGACTGGAGTAATGGCTGCTAAAAATTCAGATTTGCCAGCACAGCAATGAATTACATTTTAAAATATATTCAAATAAAAAGCAGTTATTTTAAGTTGTAATAATATTTCACAATATTATTGTTATCCAGTATTTTTGAACAAAAAAATGCAGTCTTGGTGAGCAAAAATCTTACTGACCCCAAACCTTGAACAGCAGTGTAGTTTTAAAGGTACAAAAACGCACGTTTAATTTTTTGGGTCAGATAAAAAGAGGAAAGTTGTCACTTTATTCACACAATTTCCACTTTAGTTTGGACTTTATAAGTAGACTTAAGAGTTGCGAAATTACAGAATATTGCAAAAGTGAATAATGCATTTTTTTTAGAAAATGCAATGATATTGATAGCAAAAGAATGAAGAATAACAGTAATGGATGATTTGTTATTATGCACTGTAACAAAGACTGAGATTCACACTTCTGCTGTTGTTTTTACAGTTATTTAGTTCATGATAATACATTTCTATATTTGAATTTAAAACCTCTTTTTTTTTTATTTGCAACTATTTGGTACTGTATTGCGTTGGCACTTGAAATTCTGGGTCCTGAAGCAAAACTAGTTGAGGACCACTTCTCTAACATACACAATATCCAGCACACTTAATGTGTCTCTTCATGCATGCATTTCTATCATTCTCTACATGTAGAATCAATGTTAATAATTCCTTCAGCGCTAATACACAAAGTCCCAGACTAATATCAGCACTGTTAGTTCTTTAATTCAGCAAATATAGCTTCCCCTCTGGTCTTCCCTGTCTCCAAAACACCTTCATCATCCCTCATCCCTTTCGGCAAGAACACGCTAGGCAAATCCATCTAGCTGTTTTATCTCCAGGAACATTACATCGATCAATCTAAAGATGGATCTGTTCTTCTCTCTCCGTACATCTCCACCCCGAGCCAAGTTTCCTTCCATCACGCTTGTTGACTGAGAGTTACCAGTTTCATTTAAGCTGGATTCTCCTCGTTCTGTCCTTCCTGGAGGTGATAACATCTACAGCTCCTCATTGTCTTTGATCTTTTACCTCTGATGATCATCCATCCTGCAAGTATCGGCCTTTGCCTCCCTTTCAATTCTAGTGCTTTTGAGGACCGGCCCATTTATTCAGGGGTCCACTTCCCAATAAAGCGTCCAATCAATGGCTTATTCTCTTTTCCATTACTGCAGTGGGACAGCTGGCTCATCCCTCCTTCTTTCTTTTTCAGTGGAGGGACATACCATCTATTCTGCCTCCTGAATCTCTTTCAGGTAAGGGCCATCAAATCCCTAATTCCTCTCGTTCTTTATCTTTCCCTATCCTGTGAGGAATTGTCCCAATCGCCCTACAGCTTTCATTTTCTACAGCGGGACATCCCATGCATCTCTCTTTTCTTCCTTGCCATCTATTCATTGCACAATCTCTTTGTCTCTACTGACCTCTGGTGATGACTCCCTCCAGACGCACAATGTTGGCATGATCGAACTGTCCCAGAATTCCCGCCTCGCTGAGGAATGAGCGTCTCTGTTTTTCCGAGCAGCCCGCACGAAGGGTCTTTATGGCCACAGGCAACTCGCGTTTACTGGGAAGCTTCAGGCAACCTCGACACACTTCCCCAAAGTCTCCTATAGAAGGAAAGTGTTCACTTGATGTTGATTGTGTCTCATAATATAGCATAAATTAGAACATTACTCATCATTTAAAGGAACAGTTACCCAAAATGAAAAATCTGACACCATTTACTCGCCCTCATGTCATGAATAACAGCTTAAATGACATATGAACCACCTTTACGCTATTTTTATGGTGCTTATGTTTCCTGTTTTGAAGCTTGAAAGCTCCTGTCCTCATTCATTGCAATTTTATGGACAGTCATTAACATTAGCTGTAGTTTTTTTTTCAAAGAAGAGAAATATGAGTCAAATGGGTTTGGATCCAACAGGAGAGTCAGTAAATGATGACAGAACCTTTATTTCTGAGATTAATATAATGCCTAGTTTACATAGATCTTGACACACAGCAAAAAAATAAATAAAATTCTACTCAACCTGATGTTGTAAATATAGACTTAAATGACATATGGACCACATTTATGATACTCCTATTGTGCTTTTACTTCTTTTTGAATCTTGAAAGCTCTTGTCCTAATTCTTTGGAATTTTATGGAAAAAATTAGCAGTAAACATTGTGTTCCAAAGAAGACAATAAAGTCATGTGTGTTTGAACACAACATGAAAGTCAGTAAATGACAATAAAGCCTTTATTTCTGATGTGAGCTAATGACTAGTTTTCATAGATCTTAACACACAGCATTGAAAAACTATAAAACTGTCACAAAAATAAAATGAATTTGCAGGATAGTGGGAAAAGTAAGGAGGTTTTGATGTCTGGTACCTGTATGGACTATCCTCTCGATCTTGATGCTAGCGATGTCCAGCTCTTTGGCAAAGGCATGAACAGCCTGGAGCAAATCTTCACAGGTTTCTGGGTCAATGTAGGTCCTTCTGGTTGGGATTTTAACTGAAAAAAATGAAAGAAAAAATTCACATATATAATTAGTGGTGCTACACTCACTATTACCACTGATTGATTCACTATTGTTACTGATGAAATGGGCAAAAAAACTCCAAAAAGCCATCTTTAGGTATCAGAATATCATATGCTTTGTTCATACATTTTGGTTTTCAAATCTTGACCATCTACACTGTTATTTTGCAAGTGATCTGACTTTCTTAATAGAGTAACTGTCAGTGTGGAAAGCGAGAATGGAAAGCTGGAAATTTCGCCTCTGCTCATGTCCATCACAACATCTCAAAACATGCATGAGAGAACAAATGACAAGAGGCATTTAAAGCATTCATGCATATACTGTGTCTAAATGCGCTGGTGCATTAACTCTTCACTATTCACGTAGTTTGCCGTTTTAAGAAATGTGCTATTTTAAGAATGTCTTTGCAACACATAGCAACAACCTGGCAACCACCTACAACACCCTAAACTTCATGGCATTGAGTTTTGCATGAGAAAACGTAACTGAACAAGAACATGTACCATCTAATACACTAGCATAGTGTTTATAGTCCAGTATATTTGTACTATCTAATACAATAGCATAGTGTTTATAGTCCAGTATATTTGTAATTATATGATGCTAATGAAGATTTACTAAAACAGAACAAATTTAAAAAGAAAATGTACAAAAAGATGACCTTTACTATTTTTCTGCTGTATTCTTTTACTAGATCCTTGCATTATGTCATGCATCATCTACTCAAAGGCAGTGTGGCAGTCTGAATCTGAAATGTGCTTACAAGTCAACATCGACCCGAAGCAGACCAGGGTCTCAACTTCACAGTCTCATAACAGCTTATTGATCTGAAGCTCACATACATACACACATACTTAGGAATACAATTACAAAGCAAATTAAAGGTGCTCCATTCCATCATGAGAGTGCGGCTCAGGATCGAAAGTCTCTTCAACAGGAATGAGTTTTTTCTAGCACATGCCGTATTCACATGTGAGGCTGCTATTACAGTGATTTAGAGGTCCAGTTCACTTCCTATTAGTTTCTGTTTGGGTTTGTTTTTATCAAACTAACTGATTCAGCCACAGAAGCTTTCATACATAGCCTACACACCAAGGTTATAGTTACATGATATGCTCACTAAAACTAAAAGTTTGCAAATTAATTAAAGCTAAAAGGAAACTGAAAATATGCACTAAAATATTAACAAAAGCTACAGAGAATGTAACTTTTGACTCTGTATTCTGCCAAGTAAATCTGAAACTGATGACACTAGCACAGTAACAACAAAATACTGTGCAAAGTGGTTACATCACAAAATGCTTCTGCATTCCTAGTGAAATGTTGTGAAAAGCAATGTGAGAGTTGATCCAAAAGGTCTCAAAAACTCATGAATATGTTTCAAAGATTCTGTGTCATGAACTTTGCAAACTAATTGTTGTACGATAAGTGTCCTCAGAGACCGAAAGAAGATCTTAGCGAGTTCAGTCCATGCTGCCGAATCAAAAAATGCCCTGAAGACACCAGAGTAGAGGCTATAATAATGTAGAAAAAAATTACACAATTATAATACATCTAATTGTCCACAAGTACTGCAGTATGTTGAGTTGTTGTAAATTAAAAATATGATGCCGTTATTTATGCATGATGCAGTTTTTGAAAAGTACTACTGTATGCATGTCTCATTATAGGAAGATTTGTATTGCTGTTTAAGATATAAAATATATTGAAAGCAAATTTATAATTAAAAATAGTCAGCAAAAAAAAAAAAAAAATCATACAATTATAGTCATTTAGACTATAATTATGTTTATAATAATTTGCATAACTGACTGTATATGAACAGATGTTTTTGAACAGAAATTCCCAGGCACACGAACAACTCTCCTAGTTATCTAAATGTGAGAAGAAAAAAAAACATAATATGAACACAATCAAAGAAACACTATACAGGGAAAAAAAATTAACTAGAAGTATGTATACGCATACACATTTAATTTATACACTTAAATGACCCTTTGTACCTTTGAAGACATTCCCCAAAGGAATGCCTTATTAGAGTTAGTTCTGCGGACAATTGTGTCCCAAACGTATATAGTAGCTATGTTAATTCCCAATACACTGACAACCACAAACCATTTATATGCATTTAAGTTTGCATATCTAAAGCATTAAATCCACAGTCGCCGGTGCTACATACACACACAAACAAAGTAGGCCTCAGTGATTTCATAATGACAGCTAAAGCACTGATCCCTACCATTGTTTCTAGGTCATCCAAAAATATGCATATAAAACAAACAGAACACGCATGCAGGGCGAAAAGAGGGTGCGCTTATAGGGCTAGTTGTATAACAGATGGAAGAACAAATCTGTAAAACAAATGACGGTGGGAGAGACAGAGATCACGCACGATGGGTCACCAGAACTGAGCCCGGGGCGAAATGAGAGCGAGAGAATATCTGTGATGATGCTGATGGGATTTAATTTTGTGAAATGTGAGAGAAATTATTCTGTATGAGACTGTGTGACAGAGCATTGTGCTCATGGTAATATTAAGGAGTTTTCCAGTGGGGAAAAATCTGAATTTATACTCTTTTTGTACTATTTGTACTCTTGTTTTCCATGAATGGTTCTTGTTGGAAATTTCATTCTATTGCTGGAACGTGAAGGATTTGAGGCATTCCCTAAATTCTTCCTTGAACAGGGAACATTTTGCCTGGTTTCCAGAAAGCACAAGATTGTGTTATATAACACAATATAACATCTTTTTGTGTGTTTTCATTCATTTACACATTACATTTTCTAAAATTATTATTGTTTTTTCTAATTCTTGTATTACATACCAGTTTCATAAAAAAAATGTATGCTGCTCTTTTAAGAAATCTATGGAGCCAAAACCAGCAATTAATGCTGATCAACTTCAAACATACCTTAGAGGAGCAGCACATAAATTTATTACATAAAAACTAGGGCTGTCAACGTGCATGTGATTAATTTTACAATCCTTAACGTGTTAAAATAATTTAACGCAATTAACGCAAAATTACTGAAGCACAATTTCTATTCTAACCCTTTAACCCAATTTTGCTTCTCTGCTTGCGATCAGATCATTTTAAGCTGCTAAACTCTGGGAAGTTCTGCGGACAATTGTGTCCCAAACGTATATAGTAGCTATGTTAATTCCCAATACACTGACAACCACAAACCATTTATATGCATTTAAGTTTGCATATCTAAAGCATTAAATCCACAGTCGCCGGTGCTACATACACACACAAACAAAGTAGGCCTCAGTGATTTCATAATGACAGCTAAAGCACTGATCCCTACCATTGTTTCTAGGTCATCCAAAAATATGCATATAAAACAAACAGAACACGCATGCAGGGCGAAAAGAGGGTGCGCTTATAGGGCTAGTTGTATAACAGATGGAAGAACAAATCTGTAAAACAAATGACGGTGGGAGAGACAGAGATCACGCACGATGGGTCACCAGAACTGAGCCCGGGGCGAAATGAGAGCGAGAGAATATCTGTGATGATGCTGATGGGATTTAATTTTGTGAAATGTGAGAGAAATTATTCTGTATGAGACTGTGTGACAGAGCATTGTGCTCATGGTAATATTAAGGAGTTTTCCAGTGGGGAAAAATCTGAATTTATACTCTTTTTGTACTATTTGTACTCTTGTTTTCCATGAATGGTTCTTGTTGGAAATTTCATTCTATTGCTGGAACGTGAAGGATTTGAGGCATTCCCTAAATTCTTCCTTGAAGAGGGAACATTTTGCCTGGTTTCCAGAAAGCACAAGATTGTGTTATATAACACAATATAAACATCTTTTTGTGTGTTTTCATTCATTTACACATTACATTTTCTAAAATTATTATTGTTTTTTTCTAATTCTTGTATTACATACCAGTTTCATAAAACAAATGTATGCTGCTCTTTTAAGAAATCTATGGAGCCAAAACCAGCAATTAATGCTGATCAACTTCAAACATACCTTAGAGGAGCAGCACATAAATTTATTACATAAAAACTAGGGCTGTCAACGTGCATGTGATTAATTTTACAATCCTTAACGTGTTAAAATAATTTAACGCAATTAACGCAAAATTACTGAAGCACAATTTCTATTCTAACCCTTTAACCCAATTTTGCTTCTCTGCTTGCGATCAGATCATTTTAAGCTGCTAAACTCTGGGAAAGTTTTCAGTCCAATGATCCAGTAAGCTAATGCATACAAACAACGCTAATATAAAGGACACCAGGCTGATTACATCAGAGATTGCAGAGAGAACAGAGACTTGCATTGTGTTTTCAGTGAATTATTAATTCCAGTGTGTTTCGCTTTAAAACATGAGCTCTGTCATATTCTGTGATTGTCTCTGAAGAGCGCGAGCCCTCACACGCCACACGCGCTGTGTGAAGTACAGACAACACATCCCATCACTGTATGGCCAGAAGAGACACAAACTACGTTTTCTCGACTGGATAACCAGTCTCGCTAGCAAAGTTTTGATGGATGAAGACTGCAATCAAGGTAAAAACGATTGCGGTGGCATACAGGAGATGTACAGTAAGCACGCGTGAGTACGTTATAATAATGTGTGTATGAGTGCTCTTGACGCACTGATCGCACATTGTATTTATGCACAGGCACAGACATTTCCGTACATTCACGTTGTTTCCACACACATTCACGATAATGTTTTGATTTGTCATATTTATGTTGCTGTGTTTAGTTATTCTGAATGGATCCGTGTACTGTAGTAGATTTATGCAGTTAGCAGGCCGTTGGTTTAGGTTTTTTTTGGCATCTCCACGTGGTCCTGTTCGGTATCGCAACTTGACTTCTCTAAAATGTAAAAAAGCTATTTGCTGTTGCACTGTACACATACTATAAAATTCTGATTTTTTTTTTTCATATGTTATATGGGCTCCTTATATCATTTGGTTATTTGGTGTCCTTTTGGAGTTTCTAAGCATCTAAGTTATAGAGTATATAGAGTATCTAAAGTTATCTTGAAAAAATCTTGCAGAAAATACAGATTTTTGAGAATCACCCTTCGGCTTCAACAAAAGCATTTACCATCAATCGACAAC